GCATGATGTCAAATACCTTTATAGATTAAGTTCCCTTTTAAAAATTTCCCTGGAAACTCTCCTGCTCTAATTAATTCTCCTAGTATTAAATTTTAAATACCTCTTTTGTGTCAAGATGCACCCACTTAAGTGCCACCACTTTTTTCCATCCTAAATAATTTTATTCCACTCCAGTCCAGGTGAAGATACTCTTCAACTTGACTGGTGACTATGCCTTTCCTTTGGCTTCACCTGGAGAATGCCTATTTCTCCCAATGTGCCCTACACTGAATGTGATTATTATTTTCAGGTCCTCCATAATGACTCTAGAGAAAAAACAAACATAATGGAAAGTTTTAAAACTGATCTTTAAAGGCCAGTAACACTGATCCTAAAAAAAAGAAAGTATGCCCCAACATTCCGGGTTGTTATGGGGCTCTAAAAAAGCAACAGCCAACCAAATAAACCCTAACCTAATACCAAACATATTTTCCTAACAGAAGATCCTACTCAAAACTTTCTTCGATATCTTTCATTTTTAAATGAAAATACATTTCAGTGAAATATTTTTAAATAAATTGATGAAGTAAGGTGAGTGCAGTTCCTAAAGGCTGCCACACTGAGGCGTGTAGTGCATTGTTTTGTGACTGGCTTTCAGATCACTGCTTACCCAAGTCTTCCTTTTAGGTAATAATAGTAGTCAAGAAATTAAACTTGTAAAGCCCAGATGGAACTTAATTAGTAAGCATCTCCTTTTCTATGTGTATGGGTGGTGTGAATGGATTGCTAAAAAGAGTCCTACACATTGGAATGAAAGCACACTCCTTTGTGGTTAACATATGTTAGAATGATAGGAAATAGAAAGGCACGTAGTCATCTTTTTTCTAGAAACTGCCTAAGCCATAAAAGAGAAATGATCTATGTCTCATTACTTAAAGCATTCAAGCAAGGAGACCTCTAAATCATCCTTTTCAGTACTGAATAGCCATCATAGTATGATCACTCTCACTTTGACCAGAAGGAGAATGGCTACAATTTCTAGTTAAAAAAATCACAAATATGGCATATGCAACACAATGACACCCTGTTTCTTTGTCAGAGGAAGAACACATTCTGGCAAGTCTTGGAAATCAAATCCACTTTAAAATAGAATACTAGAGAACAGCTTCCTTCCTTATTATTTGGAAATGAAGAACGTTAAAATGAGGCCATATCAATGGCCTCGATATATCATATATAAAACAAAACTTTGAATTATAAGTTAAGAATTATAAGAAAAAGTGACAAATCTAATAATGTCAATTTTTTAACACAATTCAATCACTAAGACAACATACAGGCAAAAGTTTTAGTAAGAATATAGATGATATAAACAGTGTGATTATAAACTTAATCTAATAAACACATATAGAATCCATATCCAATAATTAGAGAACACATATTCCTTTCAAGCATAATTGGAACATTTGTAAAACTTAACTTCATGCTAGTCCACAATGCAAGGTTTAAGAAATATCAAAGAATCTGTATCACATAGACCATATTCTTTGACTATAATGCAGTTGTTAGAAACTATTTGTAAAATATGACTGTAAGAAGAAAACTCACATATTTTAACATATAAAAATATTTATAAATAACTCATAGTTTAAAGAAATCAAGAAAAAAATAATATTTACAGCTATTATATATTAAAACACCTGGAATATAACTAATATAGTACTGACGGGGAATGTTTAGTTTTAAATAAACATACTAGAAAAGAATTAGGTCTCCAAATTAAAGAGCTAAGCTTTAAATTCAAGAAATTAGAAAAGAAAAAAGAGAGTCAACAAAAGAACAAAAAAAAAATCAATGAAAAAGATAGCAAAAATATATATATCTTCCCTAGTGTACCTTTGTTTTATATTTAATTAACTTCTGCCCTAGGCCTAGATGGTTTACTCCCCAAATAATAATAGAATAACATGACCCTGAAACAAAAACCAGACAAGGACAAAATAAGGAACATAGATGTAAATATTAGCAACATGAACTCAACCAAAGTGGTAAGAATACATATTATAACCAAATGGGCTTATACCAAGAATACAGGGATGACTAAACAATAGAAAATTGCTTAATACAATTGATCATATATATGATCAGTTGAACAAATATATGGTGATCATAAAATTGAACAAATAGATGATGTTAATACATGAAGAAAGATTATTTGCCAAAATTCAACATTTGTTAATGACAAAAAAAATAAACTACAACCTAGAATAGGGCAGAACATCTTAAATGTGCTCAACCTTGACTTCAAAATTAATGTGAAGAAAGAAGGGTAAAAAATAGCCAAGACAATTCTGAAGTAGAACAACATGGGAAGACATATCCTACCAGACTCAACAGACTCTGTATTAACCATGGTGTGACTTGGTAAACAGATCAAAACCAAAGTGCATTAAGGCAGTTCCTCCCACAAATGAAAACCTGGCATTTGAGAGAGAACATACTAACTCACTAAGGAAAAGACAAACCATCCAAGTGAATACAGTAGCACAGCTGGTCTTCCATAATGGAAAAATTAATTTAATAAATCCCAACCTTGCATCATGTAAAAAAAAATCACTTCTAGAAGGTTTAAGGCCTACATTTGAAAAGCAAGCTTTAAAACAACTTTTTGAAGAAAATACAGGATATCTTTATGATCTTAAGGCAAAGACGGGTTCTTAAAGAAAACATATACACTTAATGGAGTTAACTTAAAAATCTACATACAACAAAGACATGATAAAAATAGGAAACAATAAGTTTCAAAAAAGGAAGACATTCATGATGCATATAACCAAAGTTTAATAGCAGAATATAAGCAGAATAAGAAGAATTTAACATAAAAATGGGTAAAAATACGAGCAAGCAATTTATATTTAGAATGGCCTATTATTACATAAAAAGCTATTTAATATAATTTGTAATCAGTGAAATATGAAATAAAACAACAAAACAATTTTGTACCCTTAAATTTTTGTAATTAAGAGTTTAACAATACCCAGAGTTATAAGGCTGTAAAGCAATGGGAGCTCTCATTTGCTGCAGATGAGAGTACTTACAGATTTAGAGAGAAAATGGCAACATGTAGTAAAGTGAAAGGCATGTAAATCCATGATGCAGCAAATCCATTCCTATATATATAACATCAAAAAACTCACAGGTCTAGGAGAAATGTGCAAAAAATGCTCATTGACATTAACAATGAAATATCAGAAGGGACCTAACTGTTCATTAACAAATTAAAAGATCAATATGTTGTTTCTTTACCTATAATGGAATACTATGTAGTTAAATAAATCATCAACTTAGTTTCAAAAATATAATATTGGGGAGAACAGCAGACTGAAGGTTGACATATCTTGATGCATGAAATCTCAAAGCATGCACATATATATTGTTCATGAATCTATATATGCACATATGTAGCAAAACAAAATCATGCATGGGAAAGACAATATTAAATTTAGGACAGTGATTACCTTGGTGGAAGGGAGGAAAATGGGATCAGAGAGTGATTAAAAGGAAGCTTTAGTTTTATCTACAATGTCTCAAATATTTTGATAAATATGGAAAGATGTGTTTGGTGGGCACATAGATATTATATTCTTCTCTGTACTTTATTTACTTAAAATATATTGTAATTTTAAAAAGGAAGTTACCAATATTCTTTTAACTATAAAAGTATGATGGTCACTTGCATTGAAGGAGGAGAAGGCAGGGTAAGAGAACATTCCGTGAAAATCTCTAGCATAGCCTGGTGGTTAGGTGTTAACATAACCCACAATCCCATGCTTGGAAAAGGTGAGACTTCCCCAGTTTGAACTGGGACAACTGAGCCAAGGTTCCACTGCCAGTAGGATTAATTACCACTTTTCCCTATCCCCTTCTTTTCTGCCTTTTTGCCCCAGTTCCTTCTTCTTCCATCTCTCTGCCTTCCTCTCTAGAATGGCATAAAAAGCCACTTTAAGGGGGAAATGTCACTAACCATATAGCTCTGTCACTGCCATCCCCAACAGGAGACTTCCTCCAAGCATTGGGGAACCCCCATTTATTAGAGGAAAACACAATTCCTGGATATGTACAATTGATTATATGTCAGAGATAGTCCTCTAGTTTGAAACATTAGACAATGGAAATTCAAACATGTATGGAAGTTTTATTAAAGCTACTTGGCCAAAAAATTATTGCTCAGCCAGCTTTAAATAGAACTCTATTTAGAAATAGAGGAGAATTAAAGGTAATTCTCCTTCCTGTACGTTGTCCGCAGTCCTGTTCCCCAGAGAGATACTTTATTAATAGACAAACATGCATCAAAAAGAACTTTTAAACAAGGGATGGTGTTTAAAAATGTCTTGACTTGGTACATTCAATATTTTTCTACCTGAGGCCAAATCTTTAGTGCAGAACCTTCAGACTTGGAGTCAGATACAGTATAAGTAAAACCCAATCATAAGAACAAGATGACAGAGATGTTATATTGTTCATGAAGCTTTTTATAGAAAAGTCAGGAGAGAACCAAGTGTCCATGCAATAAGTTCTAAGGCTTGAATCTGATACCAGTTAGACAACTAAGTAACATATATAACTGGCTTGTGTTATGATATAGCATGTAAAGATATCAAAATATATTTAGGTAATTATTTTGTCCACAATTGAATGGAATCTTATAAAGAGCTGACTATACAAAATTGTTGCTTTCTTAACTAACCTAAAATTTAGCCATATCTGAAATGCTGCAAGAGGCTGCCCAATTAATGTTTTGCCACCTTTGCTAAAAGGTTTTTCATAATATAGAATTTGAGACAAAAGTCTCATTAAAGAATATGGCAAGTATGTGATGTCAAAGAGTATAGTTCATATTATCTTGTTGCTTTTTAATCCAACATGTTTGGTATTTCCATGGAGAGGAAAGATTTTCATATTTTTTTCTAAGTCTGTATTTGGAATCAATTTATAAGAAAACTATTACCTTTGTCTTTTAGGCTCTTCTAACCTATAGGAGTGATCCAACCATGAAAAAAATGATGAATCATCTGTATTTCTATATCATGCCTGTATTTAATGTTGATGGATACCATTTCAGCTGGACTAACGTAAGTCACTTTGCCTATCCAAAGAGAGAGACTGAATAAATCATAGAAAACTGTCACAGAACAGGAAGGAAGGTTGTAGGCAGCCAGCCTAGTGATCAAGAACTACAAGAGACCTCCACTCCTCCACCATCATAGCAACCTTGGGATTTTGTTTGTTTGCATAGCTTTACATAAATTTTCTGTAAATAAAGATTTCTCTTTTAAAATAAATTATGAAAAATCTCTAGCTCAGTCCAGCTTATTCAATTTGCCTGTAAAAAATTGAGGTCAAGCTAAGGTAAGGGACAGCAAGTTTGCGGCAGGTATTGGAGCATGCACCTGGGTGCCCAGTCCTCTTTCCGCTCCCTGAATTTGTTCCAAAAGGAACTTTCCCCTTCAACGCTGTGATTCATTCACTGGTTGCACTACTAAAATGCATGTGAATAATCTTTTAACTATTCTTTCTGCAATTTTCTGCATATTCTTTCTGTAATGTTTTTAATTACATTCTAGGATCGATTTTGGAGAAAAACAAGATCAAGGAACTCATGGTTCCGCTGCCGCGGAGTTGATGCCAATCGGAACTGGAAAGTGAAATGGTGCGGTAAGTTGGGGACTCATTGAAATGCAGATCCGAAGGTTTCCACGGCTTTTACACCCAGAAACGAGCTCGTTAGGACTCTAATGTACAACTGATGTTTTTCTGTATGTGAAAACCTACTAGAGAAAAACATGAATATGTACATTGTAGCTATAATTTGCAAAACAAAATGAAAGGGCTTTTAAATATGTAAACATCAAGAATTTAAATCTATCAACCCAATCCTGAAAACTGAACATTTAAACACAGATGTAAAAACAGAAAACTGAGGAATATAGTCTCTGTCATTCAGAAACTAAAACAGGAAGTACAGTTTGCTGTATAAATCTGGTTAAATGTTTTCATCCTTCCACTGAGAGTGGCAATGATCCCGCGGTCATCTGTCTATGATGATCAAAGCTGCCAGATCCCTGTTGAGAATCCACCAATCTGCCTGCTCTGCACTGATTGGCCACACACAGCAAATATATTTCTGCTATACTATGTGTTTCATTGATACATACCTTTCCTGTAAGGAAAGGATGTCATTTTAAGAAAGGGAACTTGCAAAATAAAGCAGGTAGGGTACCAGAGAGAGAGAGAGAGAATTAGCCATAGCTCATGTAAAAGAGGCAAAACTTTACCTGTACCCATCTTGAGTTATTAGCTGGGACTCTTAAACAAAAAGACAGTTGAACAAGAGAAAAACAGTTTATCAACGTATACAGTGCATGTCACATACGAGTAACCTCATGAAAAGTAACTCAAAGTCACAGCTTAAAACTCTAGCTTATACGGCATCTTCAACAAAGGGCAATACATTTAAGGAGAAATGGCAGGACAGAGGAAAGCAGTTTTAGGCTTCCAAGGGCAGCAACTGTGGGAAGGTAACTAGATGGGAGGCAGCTCATAGAGTAAAGTTCGCTTTAGATTCCTTACAGGTGCTCTTTCTTCACCAGTAAGAGCCTGTCTCCAAGATAAGGAGACTTTATAGCCTGTCTTTAAGCAGAAAAAAGGAAGGTAAAGATATCTTTTCCTGCATTTGCTGCTGCTCCATTGCCTTCAGTTCAAAATAATTTTTAGGTCAAAGAGGCACATTTGGGGGTGACATATTTTGGTGTCCTTCACTGGTATTATACCTGTCAACAAAAAGGAGGGAAAGGAGAAGTATTATCAAAAGGCAGAGTCCTACCTCATCTCCTCAAAATATAGACCATTGCATAATAGAAACTCTTTGTCTCTTAAAAATGAGGCTTATCATAAATCACTCACTCTGACACTTCGGGCTCTGTATTATATGCTACTCCTCCTGTCCCCACCAGCCTCAGAGAGAATAGCTGGGCATGGGTTGAGACTCCTCCTACATCTCCCTCCAGGGAACCTCCCTTCATCAGTTAGAACTGGAAAATAACAATATGGTAGAGCAGAAAGAATATGGCTCTAGAGTAGGGAAGATATGGTTTTATTCTACAATTATTGCTCAAATGATTTGGGCAATTTTTTTAAATCTATCTAATAATAATAATAATACCCACCTCAAAGGGCTCTTATAAGAATTAAAGGAATGTACATATGTTTAATGCCTAACTTAGTCCTAACTCCAAACAGTGACCCCTCCAGAATCATCAGTTCACCTCTGAGCCTCGGGTCAATTGTAAAACCACATTTTCCTGCAGGAGAGTGTTGTGCTGAAGAGCCACGGGGAAAGAAAAAGCATTGTGTAAATACTATAAAGCAGTATGATTGATGACTGTTTAGCGTTAAGATATTTTTCTTCAACCTGCAAACTTGTTCACTTTATCTCCCTAAGACTGCTAATGTTTTTAAATTCTCTTTTCCTCCCCTCTGATGGGACCACCGTGCATGACCATAGGTATGTGTCCCATTTCACTAGTTTGTAGCTACCTACACCCACACGTGTGTCATACACATAATGCCCACAACCATCTGAGTGAGTGCCCTGAATGGGTAACTGAGCTGAGTAACACTAGCAGGTCAGCCAGCTCTGCCTGTGTAAGGTTAGACTCTTGTTTATATCCAGTTACAAATAACTGTCCTGCTTCCCTTGGTTCTTCCCTTACCCAGCTTGTTTCCTTCATACCTATGCCTTCTTTGATTTCTTAGTTTCAACTGCTGTCCCAACTAGAATTCCTTCGATTCTTCCCATTTTTGAATTATACTGATTCGTTCTGTAAATCAGCACTCAAGATGTTGACAAGGGATTATGGCAAATATCAATTGCGAAATGACCTCAATAGACTATTGTAAGTGATGTGGAAATGCAGACAGCCTGTCTGGGGTCATCTCTCCTTCCAAACATCTTCCTAGTAGATTCAGCTGATTTGGCAGGCAGTCAGATGTGGCCTTCCTCCCTCACAGCATCAGGGCCATCTCCCCACAGCTATTTCCTTGGTCAAGGCGACAGTCAACCTCACTGAGGGAACACTCTTAGGTCAACAGCATTGAAATAAGTAAAATCCCAAAGTGAACCTCCAAATAAGCATCCGTAGTAGAAATGATATGGAAATGCACAGGCCCATTGAAAACAACTGCTTCTTTCTCTTAAGTCAGTGGTCTCAAATGTAAAGTGTAGAACATAAAACTGCTTTTTGCCATGAAAACTCTGATCCATAAGAAGTGTTATGCTTTAGTGCATTTAATGTAAAGTAGACATCTTACAACATACACATGGAAACAAGTACATCTTTCCAATACTTCATAGCTCCCTGTGGGGACCTTCAGGCCATGAAACGGATATCATTGTTCTGGAAGTCCAGCAGAGGAACTCAAGTCAGAGTAGTGGTGAGAACCAAGAATAAATATATCAATTTTATGCATTCATTCGCCAAAGTTAACTGAGCACATACTCTTTACTAGGCACAGTGGGGTTTTTCTCCCATATTTCTCTCCACTCTTTTTAGAGAATGCTGTGGGCACTGCTTTTTCCAAATTGGAATGAATCCAGGGGAAAAGCAAAAGATTTGGATAATATCCATACTTAAGCTTTAATCCCTGAATAAATCAAGTGTTGCCTAAACATAAATTACTATTAGAACAACCTTCAGAATGGGAGAACATGTTTGAAAATACATGATAAGGGGCTTGTATTCAAAATATTAAGAGATCTCTTGCAGCTCAACAATAAAAAGACATATAACACAATTTTAAATGCACAAATGTTTTCAAAAAACATTTCTCCAAAGTAGATATACAAACAGGAATAAGCATAAAAAGATGCTCAACATCATTAGCCATCAGGGAAATGCACAGCAAAGTACCACTTCACACTTACTAAGATGGCTATAATAAAAAAAGAAAACAATTACAAGTGTTGGAGAGGGTATGGAAAAATTGGAACACTCCCAGTTGCTGGTGGGAATGTAAAATGATGCAGCCACTTACTTGGGAGAACTGTTGAATAGCCCTGACCAGTATGGCTCAGTTTCTTGGGCATCATCCTGCAAACCAAAAGGTGACAGGTTTGATTCCCAGTCAGGGCCTAGGTTGTGTGTTCAGTCGCAAGTAGGGGCATGTGTAAGAGGCAACCAATCGATGTTTCTCTCTCACATCAATGTTTCTCTCCCTCTCTTTCTCTCTCCTTTCACCTCTCTCTAGAATCAATAAAAGAAAAATAATTTTTTTAAAAACTGTTTAATAGTTCCTCAAAAAATTAAACATTGAGTTACCATACTGCCTAGCAATTTCACTCCTAGGTATATACCCAAGAGAAATAAAAATATTTGTCATCCAGTGACAAATATTTTTGATTATAAAGAATGTTTATAGCAATATTATTCATATCAGCCAAAAAGTGGAAACAACCCAAATATCTATCAACTAATGAATAGGTAAACAAAATGTGGTATATTCATACAATGGAATATTATTTGGCCATAAAAAATACGTACCGATGCATGATGAACCTGAAAACATTATGCTAAGTGAAATAAGCCAGTCACAAAGTAACAAATATTATATGATTCCATTTACATTAAATGTCCAAAATGGGCAAATCCATAGAGATAGGGAATAAATTAGTGATTACCAAGGACTAAGGAGAGGGGGCAACAGGGAGTGATTACCAGTGGGTAAGGGGTTTCTTTTGGAGAAAATAGAAGTACAGAGATGGGAAAAAGTAGGTCAACAATAATAAATAATGTAATAATTAATAAATAATAACACCAGAATAAACTGTGTTTCATGAACTCTCAACTGTATACCTTTGTTTGCCAACCCCTATGTTTTAGAATTAGATAGTGGTGATGATTGAGAATATACTAAAATTCATTGAATTGTACACTTCAGAAGAGTGGATTTTATGGTATGTGAATTATAGCTCAATAAAGCTGTTCTAAAAAATTTTAATTGCCATTTAGAAGCTAGTTAGGCACTTTATGAAACATAACTACTTTTTTAAGAACATTCAATCACCTAATATTGTAAATTAGGTATAATATGGAGAAAACCATATTTTTTTGCAGTCCAATTACTATGTCCCTCTCCACACATGCCCTTCTCCTCTATCAAAAAAAAAAGGGAGGGGGTGCCTGTTTAGTTGGACAACTATTTTGATAGACCGCCTGAGATGACAAGGGAAATTACTCCACACTGGTTGTTTTCAGCCAACGCCTGTGAAAAATTAGATGGTCAATGCTGTCTTTCTAAAAGGATGAGTTCCTCCTGCTGAAGGGCTTTGGTTTAGAGAAAGCTATTCTAGCTGAAAACCTGAGCTGAATTGCTATAAAGATACATGAATTTCAGAGACTAAATTTGGGGCAAAAAGAGAGGGTAAAAAAAAAAAGAAAGAGAGAGGGGTAACATTGCTAAAATATCTAGAAAGGGACATTGGAACTTAAAGATGTCTAATGAGGATTTTAATTAAATTTTAATTAAACCTCTTCAGTATTGTGTGACCATCACCATTGACAATATTCAGTACAATCTGCTTCACTGACTAAGGTTTGTGTCATTGAGCCTGCTATTTGGGGATGTGAGGAAGTGTTAAGACCAGCCTCCAGGTGAGC